GTTATCTCCTTTAACACTCTGTTTCAATAGTTTTGAATGTACTTTTATCACATAAAATTTGGTGAAGCGCGATCAAATTTCCATTCAGAAATTGCGACCAAGAATAAAAAACAAAAACAAATTGGGAATCACTGGATAAGACTAACAGCAACATACATATTGTCAGGCTGGAACAGGCGCAAACAAGTATAACAATAATAGGACACACACACACACACACGTGCGCGCGTACAGAGATATGTATATATGTATCTATTGAACGCACTAATACACATAAAGTTGCCTAGTATCCCGTGGTGCTTTCTTAACCACACCCGGAGGCAAGACTGTATATTTTCTAAGCTGCTATGCCTCAACTTACAAAAACAAACATCATCGTTTCGCATCTGTTTGCATCCCAGTGTGCAGACTAGCACTGACCCCACTGTAGCTCTCATTTCGCATCAGACGAGAAGGTTGTGGCGCTAACGGCAATATCCAGGCGCACAGTACTCCTCGTCTTATTTACTCGGAAGTCCAAATTCAATATAACAACAATTTTGCGACATCAATCGTCCAATCACAGCACTTTGGAAATAACCCAACCATTAACATTTCTTATTTCTTATTTGTTATATCTTTTCATGACGTGGGCGATCACGGCCCTCTATAGGTTTCTGTAAATTACCATGGCTTCTTTGGGAAATATGCTGGAGTGGTTTCCCGTTGCCTTCAGAGGTTTTGAACTCAGAACTCTTCTTCTATTAGACTGATATGTACCTAAGGCTAGACAAGGAAAAACATACAAAAATCAGGTTGAGGCTATTGAATTTTCATGTTCATGTGCCTGGTTAAATCTCATTAGAAACTTGAATTCAAAGGGCAAGTTTCTTGGAATTATGGGGGACCTGGAAATGAATACATCCTGCTATTTACCTACCCCAATTAGGATAGTTGCCATGATGACATGTTAGAAAAGATATTTAATAGCTTGCAGAAATCCATTGCAGAATTTTGGAGGGTTAAGATTTTTGAGAAGTATGATAGGTACTCCAACTTTTAGTTGAAGCCTGAAGAGAAGAACACTGGGAAGCTGTAGAAAGTTGAAGGAATTAATGAGGTTCTGGACTGTCTCCAAAGTATCTGGAACTGTGTCACTTGTACAACTGAAACTCTTCAGGAATCTTTTGTAACATCTATGGGTTTATGTTTGCACCATTGTTTGGAGCAAGAATATCTCAGAGCAACTCATACTTTGGGTCCTTTTTTACGGTTAAAACAACTGAGAAATCAAGTTTAACCTGTGAAATGTTAGTTTTTTTCTGTAAACATTTTCAGGGTTTTGGATTGAATTACAAACAAAACAGAAAAAAATGAAAATTTTCGTTCTTTAAAGAAAGTAATTTTAAACCTAAATTGACATTTGATTTCTTTCAATGGCCTTTGTGATCAGTAGCACCTATCATATTTCTTTTTGTCCATGGTACTCCCATGCACCAACGGAACCCCAAAAATGTAATTGTTTTGTAACAATATATTGTATAAAGGCTGCAAAGTAATTCTACCTACAATGACTTCCAGTAACGTCGTACTTTCAGTAAAAAAAAACAAAACAAAACAAACAAAAAAAAAAAAAAACAGTATCACAATATTTTGATAGAAATAGTTCATTTTGATATGCGCTCTGCTCTCCTTTACCCACCACGGAGAACCCGCCTTATCTCTCATTCGAATGGCTGATTCCCAACTCATCGGGAGCTCCTCGTTACGCGTGATTGGTCTCACGCTGTCCACTGATATAAGGTGGAATAAATACATTGAATCAACAGCTTCATCTACTGCAAGGAAAGTTGGTTCTCTATGTCATGCCAGAAAGTTTTTCTCGAGTTCATACTTCAAATCTATAAATCAACCATCCCTCCTTGCATAGAATATTGCTGTCATATATGGTCTGGTGTCCCCGCTGTAATTCTCGAGGCCCTCGGCAAAATCCAGAGACGGATAACTCGACTCGATGGTCAAAATTTTTGATGACGTACCTACATCGTTGCTCCTCGATCTCACTAATATGCTTTATTATCTCATCCTTCAGCTGTTGAATTGTTGTTGGTTTGTTGGCATAGACCTTACTTTTGAGATGACCCCAAAGGAAGAAATCTAAAGGCGTCAAGTCGCACGATCATGGTGACCAATTGACTTCGCTGTTTTGAGAGATGATGCGACCTGGGGACTTCTCATTGCATTTCTGTTTGAACGTCCATTTTCGCAACAGGCTTCGATAACTTTAACACGTTGTTTGATTGTTAATCTTTCCACATTTGAAATTGCCAAACACTTAAGTTGTTAAATCTGAAAGAAAAAGAAAAAAATCATCAGACGCTTAAACTTAATTCACATTTAAAATCGGTCCAAGTTATTGAAACACCCTATATTACCTTTATGCAAAAGTTTCCAGCGAAATATTAATTTTCAGATATGTACTCAGTTACTTCTTATAAATTCAAACAAACTGAATCGGTGGCAGATGTGAAAATACCATTGCGTGCTCGTTTACGCCGTTCAGCTGAAAACATTGCTGCAGTTCACGAGAATGTGGCCGAAAATCCAGACACCTCTATTCGTTATCGCGCACAGGAATTGAACCTCTCCCCAACAACGTTACATCGAATTTTGACAAAAGATTTGTCTCTACACTCTTACAAAATTCAATTGACACAAGAACTGACATGTGCTGACCATTTGGAGCGCCGTACATTCGTTAATTGGGTGCATGAGCAAAGATAAGCCGATGAAGATTTTTCGCAAAAAATCCTCTTTACAGATGAAGCGCATTTTCATCTTGTTGGATTCGTCAATAAGCAGGATTGTCGCATTTGGGCTGATGAAAATCCAAGGAAGATTGTTGAAAAACCGCTGCACCCACAAAAGGTCACTGTTTGGTGTTCATTTTTTGCTAGCGGAATCATTGGACTGTATATTTATAAATTTGAATGTCTATTTTCGTAGTAGGCTTCGAAAACTTTAACTCGTTGTTTGATTGTTAATATTTCCATGGTTGTTAAGTAAGTTGTTAAATCTGAAAGAAAAAGATAAAAAACATTATACTCTTAAGTTTAATTCATATTTAAAATCAATTCAAGTTATTGTAACACCCTTTACTACTACTATGTGACGTGTCTCTTTAGGATGTTGTAGATCGTGGCTCTCCACAACTTCGTATGCCCTATAGTTCTAAGCAGCGTTTAACTCTTTACCATCACACTTTGTCCCCCTTTTGCTATAACAAAAAAAAAAAAAAAATTAGCTAGGTTATTCGCTGTTTCTCTTTGCATTTTCTATCTTCAGTATTTCCTGAGTGTTTAATTTCCCATTCCTCTTTCAACATTATATATCCTAGAAATTTCAATTGGTGAGGGAATTGTCCAGTATTCACTGGACGGTACTTCGCAGATATCCCTCCGGAGTAAGATCCCCCGTAGAGGAGAACATGACTAAAGACTGTGTGTACGCCTTCCCGTGCAGCTGCGGAAAGACATCTAAAAGGGAGACAGAGCGCCTCCTTAAGTTAAGGCTTCAAGAACACCAAAAAGCTGTAACGGGAGGGGAAGTTGGAAAATCAGGCATGGTTGACCATATATGGAGAGAAAAAGGAGATCACCACCCTATGTGGGATCAGGTTGAAATCATAGACAAAGAACATCGTTGGGAAATTCGTAAACTTAAGGATTCAGCACATATGTTAGGCCACAAAAATTTCCTGAGCCGACCAAGCATAGAAATGAATACAATATAGGAACCAGTAATAAGGAGTGCCTGCGAAAAGGAGTGCCTGAGAATAACAACGAAAATTGTAATATGAGCTCTGGTAAAAAAAAAAGCATGATAACAGCAAAAATTGTATTATGAGCACTGGTAAAAATAATTGCTGAAAACATTAAGTTTATAAGTCCCAGAAATTCATACACAGATGTCCTTAAGGACACAGTAGATAATGGCGTTGGTTAGATCCAGTGACTGGACTCAAAAGAGTTGTGACTTCAATACTTAGAGAGGTGAATTAACAGGAGATAACTGATAACTGACATCCATTAGCGATGGCACGTGGAACTAGAACAGTCTACCCCAGCGAGCGAAATAAAGGGTTCACTTCGACATTCCAACCACATGAAGAAGGACGGAGCGTACGAAGCATTGTGATAAATATGGCAACAAAGATGAGGACAATAGTCCGAATAATGTAAATAGTGTACATAATACCTCATCTCAGAAATATAGACAGATTCTTAATACTTTGTTTAGCTTCTGGAAGGCATCTTTCGCCATCCAGTGCACCGTCAGAAATGTAACTTTTCAGCTATGCCTTGTTGACATAATTTTTCAACAGTATCTTTGAGGGGAAAAAAGTAGATAAATGAAAATTAAGAAATTGATGTATATAAAAAGGGGGAGCGTAAAGTTCAGGCAGATTAGGGGTTTTTCAATTTCTTAATAAGTTCTTTGTGCAGTTTTATGTAATGTTATTTGTCGTACAGAGTAATAGAAACACGACACTAAAACTCCATTTATTGTTTTGTTTAACTTTGGTCTTTGTTAATTCCTTGTTGGCGAGTGCGTGTGTGTATCACTGGTGCCTTTTTCCGAACGTAAATTCTTCTTCTCGTAAAAGTACAAGAGACTCAGTCTTGCTGCTGCCTCTTGGATGGGTGTTTATATATTTGAACTGTCAAAACGGTTTGTATCCACGCGTGTACATCCTACTTGCTGCTGAGTCGACCACATATTCTCATATTGGGTGGACTGACACCCGGCGACCAGGAAGTTATTTTTCAGGTGAACCAGTAGGTGCACGTAGTCTTTGATAGCCTGTTGTGAGACTGAGTGCAAAGTGTATTCTAGTAACATCTGGGTTAGAGACACAGACATGTCCACTTGTCCTTTTCATTAAATATATTTAACTGCAACTTTAATCAAGTGTATGACGTAACACATTTAATTCCTTTACTCGATCCCATGAAATGATTATGCTATCATTTTGTCTGTGAGTATGTTAAAGTTATTGTAACACACTTTACTACTACTACTATGTGATGTGTCTCTTTAGGATGTTGTAGATCGTGGCTCTCCACAACTTCGTATGCCCTATAGTTCTAAGCAGCGTTTAACTCTTTACCATCACACTTTGTTCCCCTTTTGCTTTCCACATTTCTATTCTTCTCTATCTTTCCTGATATGAGATTGTTTCTGTATCTATTTAGCCATTTCAGTCTATTCACATCTAGCTAGCTATCTTTTTCAGTTTACTACTATCTATCTATCTATCTATCTATCTATCTATCTATCTATCCGTGGTGATTCCTTTGTTCATGGTTCTGCATATTTGTTCAATGAATTCAACTAAATGATTTCTGACTGGTCTACTGAAATATACTGGAAGAAAGAAAGAAAGAAAGAAAGAAAGAAAGAACCAACCCGATTCTAACCAAATGATGTCTAAAACAAAGAAATGGGTGTGTCACGAGAAGAAACTTTCTACTTAGTTTTAGAGTCGGGGCTTTTTTACATTTCATTGTTGACTAGACAAAAAGCAAAATATTTATGAAAATAGAGAAAAGAAAGAAAGAAAGAAAGAAAGAAAGAAAGAATTCTTGCTAAGAGTGGGCGCGGGGAGAAAATGAAATGGAAAGAAGAGTTGTCGGGTGAAGACAAAAAGAAAGAAAGAAACAATCAAATAAAAATAAAATGCTGTAAAGAACGAAAAACGAAAGCAAGAAAAAGTAAAATGTTGATGAAGTGAGAGAATATGAAAATAATGACAAAGAGTGAGAAGAATGATTAATAAAATGGGACTAGAGAGAAAGAAAATAAAGATAGAGTTCCAAAAGTAAAAGACTAGAAAAATGAAATGTCTGCAAACAAATACAAAAGTAAAAGTCTGTTCGTCTCCGCACTGTTTATTGAGAGCAAGTAGATTTTTTTGTGTGCTACAAAAAGTGTCCTTCTTTTATAGCGACAGAAAAGACAATAAGTACGAACCATAAATTGAATCCGACTAAAACTTCTTTAGTCGATTATCGCCAAATATATATATATATATAAATGATGAAAATAGATGTGTAAATGTTGAACATAGCTTGTTTTGTTTTGTTTCGTTTTGCTATTATTTTTTCTATCTATCTATCTATCTATCTATCTATCTATCTATCTATCTATCTATCTATCTATCTATCTATCTAAAGCGTGAAATCACTCTCCCATACCGAAATTTTCTAAGCTCTTACTCGCTAACAAAAATATTATATAAATTTTACGGGACTAATTAACGCACGATAACTGTTATAATTACTAATAACGTTTAAAGAAAAGCCTTCTAACTTCAGTAAAATAATTTTAAATAAGAAAAGCAGTCAGTCGAGGGCTAATTACGAAAATTACCTATCGGGTGTTAATTGAGCGAGCAGTGTCGAACATTGATGGGGGTTCTCCAGCGGTAATTAAGTACACTGGTTGAAAATATAATGCCATCCTTCAAATAACGCACGAAATCTCATAGCAATAGTTTGTTTGATAATTTTTCTATTTTATTTTCAATATTCCTAAATGATAACAATTCATGGTGTTAGAGCATACATCATCAGCAATATCTAAAATCGGATAAGAACAAAAGGGATTTTTTCGCTATTCCAAAATACTTTCTTCTTCTTCTAAATGCCGTGTCCCTTTAGGAAGTGGGCGATTATGGCTTTCCACAGCCTCCTATCTCTTGCAGCCATTAGCAACGTTTGTCCCCTTGCCATCCTTTCCGCCATCCATTTGTCGTGTCCACTAAAATATCAAATACAATATTTATAACCCAATTACACTCAAGAAAACACTTACATCTTAAAACATACCAATAAAATCATAGAATACAAATCAGAATGTTTGTTGTATTAGTCATCATTATTTTTAGGTAGATATCGACCAAATATCGTGCAGACGTAGTAGAAGACATGCCACGTGTCCTTTTAGGGCCAATTAGAAATAAATAAATAATTTAATTCTGGAGCCGATTTTGTTACGAAAAAATGTATAAAAACATACGAAATCCGTTCCCAAACATAATCACCAAACTCCATGCAACTCTCGCTTATGATCTTTTCGACCTCATGCTAAAAGCGACAGCGTTGACAAACTTCAGACTACGCCAACACCGCCAACAGTAAGAAACAATTTCTATCCCTCGTATCCGCTTTTACTATGAATCACACACACACATGATGACTTTTTCATACAAACACACATATCACAACATTTTATTGTTTCTCACATACGTACACAAAGACAGTTTATATTTTATTTCAGAACTTTATTAACCCAAACAAAAAGACATTACTTTCCAATCTATCATCAACTACTTGTATTGTTGTCGTTATATTAAATTAATGTTTATTTGATGAAACTACGTTGTCTTTTCTACTGATTTTTATTCCTTCAATCAAAATCGTGTGATTATTCTAGACGGCCAAATTACGAGCGACCCTGTAACGATATTTTGTTATTGTATCGAATCTCGGCACTCCAAATGTTAACATTCAACGAAAAACCGAGTAGAAGGATTCCTACACATTCACATAAGCTCGTCAGATAAGTGGCCCTTTTATCTTCGATATGACCTGTGAGTATTACATTCTCATTTAGTTTTTATGCCAGAAAGGACTGACGAAAATTCCCACGTGACTTTATCTTGTTATGGACATTGTGCAGTGCGAGAAATGAACATTCATATTTGCTTGAGTGTTCATAACATGTCGGAGTTACCAGTTTTTCGAGTTAATAACATCACGTCTGATAAGCCAGATATTGATGGCTATCACGTCGGGGTGACCAGTTAATAGATATTAATATATCACATCAATTCGAGTAAGTCACCGGATAATGGGTGATCAATGGAAGAAAGAAATATGTTCCCATTTTCGTTTCCCCATTATGAGCATTCTTATATACATAATAACACCTTCCACGGACGGTACGAAACAGCTGAAAGAAACGGGACGACAAACATGCTTTGTTCTTAGAGAGAGTTTTATCCCATTAAGTCATACACAAAATTATATATATTACGTATATATTATATATATACACGTGTCCAAGGCAGAGAAACTATAAACCATTTCTACACAAGAAGTGTGAAAAGGAACGAAAAGATAGGGTATTGTAATAATTCTCAACGGGAACTGAAGTTGCCGGATTCCGTGTTTCTGGAAAAGCCATATTTAGGATTCCTGATTTGAGCGGGATGAATTTATCTGCTATGTCACTAACGATGACATATTCCGTAAACAGGAAAACAGCAAGTTCGTGTTTTACCCCAAAATTTAAGACTGCGAACTCGGGAAACAGGGCCATGGTCTTGTAAGCTGTACCACGTAGCAGCTGGCCGGGGGAGGGGGCAGATTTAGCAACTGCTGGAAGCTGACTAACGGACTAGACATTCTATGAAGTGACGTCACTAAGTATGTCTTCATTTCGACCAAATGGAGATAATCACCTTTTGTATCCCTACAGTTAACTCCTTAAACAAGGTCTAGAACTTAACACGAGGTGTTACTATTATCCTGCTTGTTGTTGATAATAAGTTTTCTCGAGTGTGCAAGCCGGTAGACTCTACTACATATTCCTGTTCATTTCCTCCCACGAATCTATCTCACTCGAATATATATGCATGTTTATTTTCTCCACGTGTCTATCTCGACTGCCTTGTGTTATACCATGAACGAACTCTCGGTCTCCAATGACTGATATACGAGACAATGGAATGAGCCTTAACTTGTAAATCACAGGGAAATAAAACACTCTTTTTCTTATCTCAACCACATCTTATCTCAACCACATCTTATCTCCATTTGTTATTTTGTCAATTCTACTATTTTTAATTGTAACGGTAAGGTCGCCGCTACAAGCTCTTTATATTAAATATATATATATTTTTTTGTTTCTTGCTCTTCGTTATGGTGATGAACCAATGTTTACCCAAGGAAACCTCGTGCCTTGAGAGCCTACTGGGCCTTAAACTCGACCCAGACCTCAACTGGAACTCATAGATACGATCCATCGCTAAAGATGTTGGAAATATGGTCGGTTCTCTGTACCGTTTCAGCAAGTACCTGACTCCACCTGCTATCCTCTAGTTTTACAAGAGCTAGATCAGATCGAAAATGGAGTACTGCTGCCATATATGGGCAAAAGATACCCAGTCTTCACTTTTCAGTCTCGACAGAACCAAAAAGCGTATCCGTATTCTTGTAGGCAACAAATTATTTTCGATTCTGCAACCCTTTTCTCACAGACGAGACATCGCAAGCATCTTGCTGCTCTATTGCCATTTCCATGGAGATTGTTCAGATGAACTTCACTTCTTAGTTCCACTAGTCGTAAACCTTTACGGCTAAGACTCGCCGTGCTATGCACATTGTAGAGAACCGCGCTCATTCCCTTCATATCCTCCTTCCACTTAAGCAGCTTCCAAAGCCTTTAGCCCCGCCGATCCGCTGCCTTGTGGAATCGACTCCTAAAAAGCTGCTTCCCCGATCACTACAATCTTGACCTGTCTAGGATCAACCGTTATCTTCTGCACATATTCACATAAGCTGTACCTGTAGGTCTGTAACCCTCGTGTGACCCCAGGCCTTGCACAAGGTGAACACCATTGTAAAAAAAACAAAAATAAAAAACAAACTTTATACAAACGCCTCCTGTTATCACTGAAAATCAAATCGATCCCATAACCAGAGTAATAACTTCTTAAAAATAAAAGCTCAGCGGAGCGTCACCAGAGAGTAACAACAGATCACCATTAGGCGAGTTGGAATGTGCCCTCTGCTCAGACAATTAGATATTTAATGATCACTTAAAGGGGAAAGAAACAGAAACCCAGTCAAATGGTCAATAAAGACATCTAAGAAATCTTTTGGATAATAAAAGCTTGAAAAATATCTTATGTGCAATAGTCTGAAATTGTTCGAATTTCTTACATGGGACATTACCTTTAATAATGTTCAACTCGCATTTCTTTCGTGTTATATTTATTGCTTGGCTGCAACTAATATTAGCAGTATCAACAACAGTAGTAGTAATTATGTAATATCCACCAAGCGTTAAACGGAGTACCAGCCATGTTTGTTGTCATTCCAATGCCCATCAATCTGTTGCGTTCACTTTCGTGTTTCGAAAATGTGTGTATCTGTCTAATCTCCTCCTAATCTATGGGTTAAATAGCAGAATAGACTCGACTCTTTTGGGTAGCAGCCAGTCTAAGAGAAGAAACACTTTAAATTTTTATACTGGGAAGACGTCTACAGAAAACCACTTTTCCCAAGCAGTCATGGCAATAAATAAATAAATAAATAATAATAATAATAATAATAATAATAATAATAATAGCAAACAGGACGGACGTGATTAAAAAGAAGAGAAAAAGAGAAAAAAACGACTACGGTAGTTTAATACGAAAGAACAAAGACAAAAATAAAAATAATGCGAGCTAACCGGTTATCGCTCCTCCCTCATCAGAGTTCTGTTACAGAATGCAGAGGCTAGGCCAAGATGGCAAGTGATTGGTCAGAAGATTTTGAAGGTATGGAATTCTAACAGTGATGGGTTACTTTTGTCTAATTTTTCGATAGAAGACCAAAACGACGAAAAGTCGGCCGATGCCCTCAATAATTTTGAAGTTTCGCCACGTTTTCCGCAACCATATTCCATAGACAGGCTAAAGCCACACTTTATTTCGTCCACCGGGGTAGATTGTTCAATTTACACGTGCCATGCCTCTTTCGGATATCTCAGTTATCTCTCTTTAACTTAACTCTCCAAGTTTTTGTTCACCACTGGAGTAGCCAGGTATTGAACTTACAACTATCTGGGAGAAGTCACTGGATCCAGCCAAAGCTTTTATCCACTGGGCCAGCTGTCCGGTGTGGAATAAGTGTGTAGCAATATGAATCAGCTGCAGTCTTGTTAAATTGAAAATAGCAGGACGTCGCAAAAAAAAAAAAGGATTCTGAATATTTAATATTTCGACGATGGTTATCAGTATCGTGAAGTCAATTTCAAAGTACAGAGCAAGAGGCTCAGACAGAGAGAAAATCACGGAATGAAGATAAATTACATTTTAGGCGAAGATGACAAGACAAAGAAAATTGTTATCTATAAAACTGACCATCCCGCGAAAAGGCACACAGAGAAACGAAGCGGGCTACGGAGAACGGACAGGGAAGACATCCGTTAGACTGTGCACCTCCGCACCTAACCAACGCCTCATCACTACTTCGCTGGTATCGAACGGGCAACGCAGTTTTAATGATCTGCTGGACTAGCTCGACAGCGATGTAAACATTTATGAGCTAAATTTAGTCGGGAAAAAAGTCACCGGCGTGGATCGAATTTATGATATGTGCAATCGCCAACGAGACGAACTCACTATTCATCGATTTACATCTGATCCATTCTCTCTTCACCCTGTTCTTTCTTTCTTTCTTTCTTTCTTTCTTTCTTTCTTTGTATCGTCATCATTCTTTCCTATATTTTTTAGAATTCTACCACTAAGCCTTTCTTTCTTTCTTTCTTTCTTTCTTTCTTTCTTTTCATTCTCATCGTTTTCCTCTATTTTTAATAATTCTGTCACTCTTTCTTTCTTTCTTTCTTTCTTTCTTTCTTTCTTTCTTATATTCAAATGCTACACCCGCCATTAAGTTGAAAGATCAAGAGTTAACAGTAGGAACCTTGTCTCAGAAGTGAGAAACCGTTTTCCTTATTTCAGGTAAAGGTAACTATCGAGATTATCGCAGGTAACTATGAAGATTATCTAAGGAATTTGTGGTTATTTAGACTCACCTAGCTACTTTCGGCGCCGTCAAACGCCAGGCATTCATTTTGCTCGAAGACAGAACAATAAGATGTGATTAACGGGATGCTAGTAAGGTAGGTCGTAAATTCATTTTCATCTGCTCCTTTTAGTTTCTTGTCGTGTTATCGCTGAGGATTCTCTTCAAATTGATTGTGAATTCCCTGACTGTTTTTTTAATTTTTTTTCCTTGGTTAAGTTCGTGAAGTAAATTAGAATGGCGACATATATATATATATATATATATATATATATAGGTATATAAACTCTATATATCTGACTAATAGTGGATAATTGGATGATAAAATGTGAAAAAATCTGTTATACGTTTCGTCCTTTGAAAGGAATCTTCAGACTAAATAATGCTTTTACTGATAGAATCACACACACACACACATATGTGTGTGTATATATATATATTAGCATAAAAGGCGCAGTATCGGGCGGCATTTAAGCTAGCTCCTGCTGATGACTCTTGATTGAATCTTCATCACAATAGGTAGGGAGGAGCAGATGCGATAGAAAACAATAAACTACAGAAGTTCTCAAAATTGATCGCTGCATTTAAGTATTGCATTAATATTTAAGCTTACATTTTAAACGTTCAACGATAATTCTTCTGCTGTCACTTAATTTTAAGACAATTTGATGTACGTAGGTCCTTACTTTCCGTACATAGAATTAAGTTTATTTCATGGGTGACATTCGCTGGATTTCGCAATTAATTTCGATTATTTTCAAATTTATTTCCAAGTTATAGAAACTGTTATCATATCAAAAAATTCATCCCAAAAAATCACGCAAAGAAATCGCTGAAAACAACCGCACTAATGAACACTTGGGAATCCAAAATTTCAGGATTGCGGCCTGGAATATTTTACTTTGCTCACGGAGTCGGCCTGATTCCAAAATGGTATGATATGTTGGGCTACGGTCTCTATGAATAAAGTTGAAAACACGGACAATTTCATTTTGAAACACTGTAATTTGAGAACAGTACTTTTTTCATTTGAAATGAGCTATTGAAAGTTAGAAAGTTGTGTCCCTTTAAGTTGGAAAAGTCTGACACAGTGACACGCTGATATTATATATATATATATATATATATATATATATATATATATATATATATATATATGAGCTCTGTCTGAAAGGTAACAGGACTAGATGTACTATGTGAGCTATGGGCGAAAGAGGGATAAGCAGATATCTAACATGATATCATGGGAGTATATAACTGTAATCTTAACTTTCTACAACCACTGCATTTTTTTCATATGCTAAAGCTGTGGCAGTACAAGTCGTGGCTGCTTCACCACGGCAATGTACCTGCTCACAAGGCACTGATCACCCAGCAGTTCCTGGCCGAGAAGAACAACTTCTCTATTCACCTGATCTGGCTCCGTGTGACATTTTTCTTTATCCCAAGCTCAAGAGCATCATCAAAAGGAACCGGTTTGATGGCGTGGGGCCAATCAAGTGGGCCGTAATGACGGAGCTGAAGGCCACCCATGAAGTATCCTTCCTGCAGTGCATAGAAGCGTGGCAGAGAAGAAAAGAAAAGTACATTAGACTCGAGGGGGCTGTTTAATTTGAAGGGGAACCCATGTAGTTTTTTGTTTGTAATCGGAAAAAATTGTTTTCGACACCAGTCTCATTACTTTTCAGACAGCCCTCATATATATATATATATATATATATATATATATATATATATATATATATATATTACATCGGGTCCCGCAAGCCTTCTTTGTGCAAACAACGTGAGTGTTTGCTGGGACTCGCCGTCATCTGCCTCTAGTTCCTTCTTGCATATATACAAATATATATATTGTATTTTTTTTTCCACCTATTCTTATTGTACATTTCTGTTTTAATTTTGAATCTCCCGTGGAAGACTGACGAGCAGGAGCGAAACCGGTTGCTTCCCCCCCTTGTTGTTGAGTTTTTTTTATTATTTAATATTGTTTTAATATGTCTTGTAATATTAAATTTTACACTTTTATTTCGATCATTAAATTTTGTACCTACAAAAATATCTTTAAAAATATATATATATATATATATATATATATATATATATATATATATACCTACAGTTCAAAAGTTTGAAGCCTCCCCCAGAATTACTACCAGGAAATGAACTTGACAGAAGAATAAAAAAATAAAAAAAATGAAAAACAGCTCTTAGAGTCATTCAAAAAGAATGGAATCAATTTTCAAACTTATACTTTGTGAAAAACTTCTGCAAGAATTGCAAAAATTTGTGCTGCAGTAATTAAGGCTAAGGGAGGATATTTTGACGAGAGTAAAGTTTAATCATGAAATGCTTTTATTCTTTTTGTCATAAAAAAATTTCTAATAAAAATCATATCTCCCTTTTTTAACCATTTATAATAATTTTCTCTTATTTAAAGTACAAAACAACTACTTTTGGGGCCAAAACATATATATATATATATATATATATATATATATATATATATATATATATATATATATGACATTTTAAGGTAAAAAGACTTCCTCGTCGAACGGGGATCATTTCATTGCCCCTCGTACATATTTTAATATTGCTATTCATTACCTACCCAACCTCATCGATCTCAAAGGAGATCCACAACTCGACGTCGCAATTTTGAACTACGTAAACTTTTCCTTAGCTGCATTTTATGTGCTTCGCCACGTCTACATGCGGTGTTGAATTCGAAGTTTCCCTTCTGCTAGACTGGATGTCAGTTAAACCCATATCCAATACCCTGCTATTAAACCCATATTTGTCGGAAGTAAAAATCTAGTTAGGCGAATGCAATGAGCTCGCACGCTATTAAAATAGTTTACCGAAAGGAGTATTTTCAAATCTAAATTATAATTTTGGAAATTGAAATTTTCACTGAAATATGTTGTAAAATTTCCAAGTTTTCACAGAATGGTTATCCGTGGAAATGAGGTACCAGTTTAAACTGGCATTAAGAGTGTATGCGTTGAAAATTTTGCTTATGTATGCAATAGTATACGTGTGCATGAAAGTACTTGATGAAATGGTTTATTTAAGTCTATTGTGTAAGAAAAGAATTTTGGCTGAGTGGCCTTGTTTGAGTTATTCGTGCCAGATCCTCCAGTAAATGATAAGCAAATTCCAATTGGCGACGAATGAAAAGCGATGATTCCACAAGCATTCAGTTCCTTAACTCAATATGAGTAATAAACGAACTACTTTTAAGCACACTTACAGGCTTGGCTCAATGTTCAGGTTAGAGGCATTTGTTTTTGTTTTTTAATTCTTGAATCAAGTACTACACATATGATACATAATGTTGGTATTTACAAAAACAAAAAAGGATTAATTTAGATATATACGAGACGGTAATGCCTCACTTTTACGGGTTTGGTTTAACAGAAAGGATTGGAAGCTGAGGAATTCGTTGGCGGAAGTTTACTATAAAATTAACCATTTTATCGTTTTATTATTTGTTAATTTACAAGGAATCGTTTTTTTTTTTTTTTTATTAAGTGACAGGTCAAATACATTAATATGAATCACGCACACAATACACACACACACGCATATATATATATATATATATATATATAATACCTGAAGAGCCAGAACCTATCTACCTAGTTTCACCTAACGGATCATCAGGATAACTGATATCCTGATAATCCGTTAGGTAGATAGGTTCTATCTCTTCAGGTATTATATGATGATGGACTCTCTCGTCGAGTTCGGTGTATGAGGTTCCGACGACCACGAACTAATTATCTGCATGCCTATGACGGGCATGACATTTGAGACTGGCTCGAGAGTTGCACTAAAGACCACAAACGGTACAGGAGAATGTATTGTATCCAAGTGTAGCAGGAACACTGTTAGATGTCTTATTTTGCTTTCTCGTTTCATGTAGTCGACTAATGGTTACTTCTCAGTGCAGCTATATCAATGTTGTACTTCTTTAGCTCCAATGCAACCAAAGATATTTTTCTTTCTGGTGCTGAGTTGTTGTCCTGGAGAGTTCGTACATTTCAAGTGCTAAGATGAAGTTGATGTTGTTTTGTAGAGTTTTTCGCAGTAGCCGGATATGTGTGGAACTAATTAGATATAGTTGTTAGAAAACTAACACAATGATTTGTTTCAAGTGGTGAAGGCTTGTGTCAGACCATCCACGCTTTTTGGATCTGTCGATAAAAAAGTAACGGTGCAAAAGACTTGCCACGGAAACTCCGAACGACAGTCCTCATGTGTTATTTTCACGGAGTTTAACCTCTCCGGATCACAGTCAATATCAGCCAGTACACGCCTCACGGCAGACACATGCAATATAATGACCGGGTTAAGTTGTCATGAGTTTTCCTTCACATCTGAAGTGTTTTTATCGTGAAACCAACACTAAAAGGATTGCTAACCAAAGCTCAGAGAGACTCCTTTCACCCTCATCAAGGTATTACAAAACATGCAAATATATATATATATATATATATATATATATATATATATATATAGGTTTCACCTAACGGATCATCAGGATAACTGAAATTCTGATGATTCGTTAGGTGAAAGCTAAATAGATAGATTCTGATCTTCAGGTTTGCACTACTTAGTGTATTGAGCACTTTACATTTCAACTTAGGTTACTCTGTTTTGTTTTTTTGGCTAGACATTGCAGTGCTGGTTGATTATTTTTAAGCAGTACGGATGTTTTTCGTCTTTTCTTTTTTTATTGACTTTTCACGATATCAGTTAGTCTAATATTGTTTTTATTTACAAATTGTATTATCTTGGCTTTTTCACACCGCTTGAGTATAAGTTAATAAAGATAATATATATATATATATATATATATATATATATATATATATATATATATATATATTGTGTGTGTATTTAGGCAGCATTTTTTCATTAATGCATGTTTCATTGAATAATATAGACAAGTTTTGTCTATTTATTTTAAGCAAATTCCTTTCATATCGACTGATAAAATTCTTGAAGCTATATGCATAAAACAGTTGAAACCTAACCCGAGCAAAATAAACTATGAAAACTCCACAAATATACTTAAATACCTATAATTGATAGCAAAATCCATTGGTTTATACCAAAGGCTTCCCATACTTAACACTTCTCGTTTTCACTCTCGCGTGGTCATGTGTGATGTCATGGGCCGCAGTGCGATTTTCACTTCCAGTGTCTCGTATGCACGAGTTTGTCGTTGCATAGAAATCTTCCATGCAAACAAAATAGACTATCATTATTGCCATGTCCATGTATTGTTTAATTTATTGTAATGTACTTGTCATCTCTGATGATGGCTTATGTAAGCCGAAAGCTTAGATAGGATTAAAAAACATGTATCAATATGACGAGTTTCTTTCGTCTTTCAACGATAATGTTATTAAGCTTATCAGACGATATGAAAGAAATTTGCTTAAAACAAATAGACAAAACTTGTCAATATGATTTAATGAAACATGTATTAATATATATATATATATATATATATATATATATATATATATGATGATAAAAATATATTTTTAAATATGCAATATTTATGGGTTAAAGTGCTCAATATCAGGGAAAATGCGTATGTAAACATAAAAGTGGACATTGAGGTCAACACCCAGAGGCGACAGTCTGTTTTCATGCTTAAATGCAACCGTCAAGCCATGTCCTGATGATTACAGGAAACAGACTGTCGCTGCTGGGTGCTTGACCTCAATGTCAGTATCGTATATATCATTCGTCCATGCATTGAATATTGCTGTTAGTTCTGGTTTGGTGCTTCTGCTATGCATTTAGAGATCCTTGATAAAAAAGATAGAAGGATCTGCAATTATTGGTCCTGACATGGCATCTCGCCTTCAGTCATTTTTCCACCGCGGAAGAGTAGTTTACCTGTACCTATTTTATAAATATTTTCATGCCAAGTGTTCTGAGGAGTTTTCCTCTTCGACACATGGACGTTAGGAATTAAAGCGTAGTATTAAATTAGCGGTGAGTTCTCGTCTTCTTACAATTGAAATGGCTAGATGTAACCGCAAGTTCTTTCGCACTTTTCGTTTGTGAAACTCTCTTCCGGCTTCTTGCCTTCCAGTCAACTTTGATCTTCAAAAATGTAAATTCAATGTCAATCTTTGTCTTCTGTCTTCTTGATTTCTGTTCTTTTATTGTTCTCTCTCCTTAATAAAGTTTTTCTTTTTCTCTTATGCTTTCCCACTCAGTAACCCTTTTGCATGTTAGTGGCTTTATTTCTTGTGATTCCTGATATCCAAGGAAATGAAAAATCCCATAAAACAGCAAAAAACTCATTAAATTCGAAACACTTAAATATATCATTTCCATACATTGTCTAGCTTTCAACCATGTCTGTGAAGGACATATGCCAAATATCGTGGGCCAGTTGTCAGGCAACAAATTGTGCGACATCAACTCAAACCTCGGGGAAGAACACCCGGGCTACAGAGAGATAAACAGAGAGAACGTCATCATAGCCAGACTATGTATAGGATACGCATATGCCACCCACCAACGCCTGCTCAAAAGTAAAGAACCCTCGTTTCACATACCATGTCAGGAAGCATACACGATTGAGCATGTGCAGATAATCTGAAGAGAATTCCAACACGAGCCACGTACTGCGAAGCGGATAACCTAAAGCAACTCTTTAAAAAATACCAAACCAAGTGAGATTTTGCAATTCCTAAAGAAGAATAGCCTTTATAATAAGCTTACAGAAGTTTAGAATTTATTTCTGTGTGATTTATACTTGGAAGAGTCGTACAATCTATTTTTAAATAAAAGTTTATTTTAATCTATTTTCATAGAAGTTTTATCTGGAAAAAATATTGCTATTTGATTTACATTGATCAAAAAAAAATGTTAATACAAGATTCAGTTGCAAAACAATAATAATTATTATTCTCATATAGTTTTAAAATGTTTCAGATTTAAATAATCTGATCTTAGTTCCAGGCTACAACACTTAATCATGCTTGGGTTTGCGGCCAAATCACGTTGAAATATTGGTTCCCGTACGATCACCGAAGTTAAGCAACGTCGAGATTGGTCAGTACTTGGATAGGTGATCGCTTGGGAATGCCAAGTGCTGTAAGTTTGAATGTGCGGTGATGTAATAAATAACGATTCAGAATTGTTAATCGGAGAGCTGAGTTCCAATTCCAGTCGGGTTCGTTGTATTGACTAACGCGCAAATACGCCTCGGAAAAGTTGTGAATCCACCCCAGCTAATGGTTCAATTAGTAAAACTTGTATCACTAAATCATTATTATATCCCCTCACCCAATTCTTAAAATCGATAAATATTTTTTAGCTTTAAATAACTTGCAAAGGGTTGATAAGACGTAAAAAACAGATCAATCGAATGGAATTAATCATGTTTGTAAAAAAAAGAAGAAAAAAGGGCGTAAAAAACATCGCGAAAAGTTTTCAAAGTTTATTAATTCTACTTCAGAAAGAGACAGTTAACATTTCTAGAGCACATAATGAGGAAAGAGAACTTAGTAAATTTGACACTCACAGGACATATTAAAGGCAAGAGGCGTAGATGAAAACAGCACATAACATACCTAATGAGCTTATGTAAATTGTTGGCAGAACAGGGATTAGGACAGGTGGGAAAACGTTACTAAGAGCTACAAAGAGCCGGGAATTGTGGGAAAGCCATAATCGCTCACACCCTGAAAAGACATGGTATATAGAAGAAGAAGAACTCTACTTCAGAGTGAAAGAGACACATCGAGAAATATGATTAAAATCAATGAAAAAAGATAATCATAAGTGGCAGTATATGACCTCATGCGCAGATATTGGCGCTCCCATATTTAGGGTGTGTAGAAACTTTGACCAGCGTTGTTTTCAGGCATTGTTATTCAACATCTATGATTGCGTATTCTGTTTTACTCACTTAAAAGTTTATCGCTACAGAATTTACCCTGTAATTATTTGTAAATGCTAATTTTTACTAATTTATTACTAATTAGTATTAAAGTATTGTCACTTGTATGTGGCTCGAGCTGACATTAAAGACTGCCAACAAATCAAGGATTCTACCTTGCTTATTCCACTTATTTCTTTTGAAAGAAAAACGACTCAGTAATTGACAGTTATTAGACTTGTAGTTATCTCCATAGAATTTTTTTTTGTTAATTTATTTTTGCTCCATTATAGATTACTCAGGACCAGTTGGTCGATTGAAGTGAAAATTGTTCTATTCTTCGGTTAAAGAATTTTAACGATCTCGTGCTAACAAAACTTGCGATCCGATATATAGTTTTCTGCTATTAAAAAATCGTAAACGGGCAGAAAATGTAATCATTATACGACAGATAAGTCGCTGCTTGGAGAAGAATCACCGTAATATATTAATGGTAATGTAATACTTAGAGAAAAATCGAAGTAACTATCCATTCCTGTCGACATTATTTATTTATTCTTGCTAAATTAAGTTTCATATCGAGGTAATAAGTTGTCAGGGTCAAAAAGAAAGTATTTTTCGTTATTTTAAACTATTTCACCCGTTTTTTTTTTCAAGGCGTATGTAAAAAGTTTAAATAAAAATATGACCAGTTAATTGATTTTCCAGATTCAACTTACATTTTCGTAAATATTTTTTTAATACCACCTTCTTGTAGAACATAGGCAATCATGGCTTCAAATCTCTACGGATTTCGCGGGAAAGATAAACAAGTGATTTTTCGATGCCTTTTACGCGGATTTGAATTCAGATTTGTCTTTCTCCTAGACTGGTTGCAACTCAAGGCTAGAGAGTCCAATCTTCCTTGTTACTTAACCCATAGCTGTGTAGATATTAAATGGCTCCATGAATTTTTTCCAAAATGCGAAGTGAACTTAACTAGGACGAAATTTGAACGCGGATCGCTGATTCTACTTTTCATGCTGGCAACCGCCATGCTACCAACTTTTCTTTTTATGTGCCGTGTCCCTTCAGGGCGTAGATGATCATGGCTCTCCACTTTTCCCCTATCCCTTGTAGCTCGCAATAAGTTTCATCCCTCTGCCACCTCCCCCAGACCACGTTCTGTCATCCACTTGCTTAAGCCCACCAGGTATGTCATGCGTTGCTTTCCCTTGTCTTTCCCCCTGTTCAATCTGTGGGTATCAGATTCTCCAGTTCAGTCATAATTTCCAAAAATTTAATTCCTTTTTTTGACTCGAGATAATTTTGACATAAATTAGAAGAGTTTTAGATCAATGTCTAGCTGAAAGGTAATTTTTTTTCCAGTTATGCGTATACCAGATTGCACATCGGGAGGTGTAATGGTTAGCAAGCTTGTCTCGCTAGAACACTTACGGCTGAGTAGTGAGTTCGATCCTCACTGGGTGTCCCATACTTTCGGCCTTGTGCCACATCTAAGCTACGCTTGGAAAATCACTATGCGTATACTAGATTGTATAGCATCGCTTCGCAAAGTCGGATGATATTCTTTTTCTTTTTTTTTTTTTCATGGTTCCCTTGACATGAATCAAATCTGCCATATTTTAAAAAGTCTAATGGTGTAAACAAAATATAACGTTTTTCATGCAAAATATTCACAATGTAGCTAAATTTATTGTGATCAGATGAATCCAAATTTGAACATTTTGGTAGTAAATGTAGCCTAGAGAAAGATTAAAAATAAAAGCAAATACACTGTAGTTACTGAAATTACTGAAATTTTATCTTTTACTTTAATAAATACAAATTTAATAAATAAATACAGCGTGGTCACAAGATTTTTTGCTTGTAGTATATATATATATATATATATATATATATAATCATATCCTCCTACATGTAAGGCAGTAAAGCCACTAAGGCACAACGGGCGAAAGAATAAGAAAAAAAGTGAAACATTATTAAGGAGCGAGTACAGTAAAAAAAAGTAATCAAGAAGACGACGATTGACATAGCATTTAAATTTTTGAAGATCAGTTTTAGCTGGAAGGCATGGAGCCGTAAGAGATTTCCACAAGCGAGAAAAAAAGGCTGTTAGCATCGAACCTACGCTTGCATCTAGCTAATTCAACTGTAAATTGATGAGACCTTACCGCCAATATAGTACTGCACTTAAACTCAAAATTCTAGGTACCATAGCGAAAAGTTCATTCGAACAATTACCATGAAAGTATTTATAGAAAAGGCAAAGGGAAGCTACATTACAGTGGTGAGACATTGAGTGAAGCCGAGACGCCAGGTCAGAACCAGTAATATTGCGGATTCTTATTTGGATTTTATCAAGAATCTCTAAATATACAGCAGGAGTACGAAACCATACGTGATAACAATATTCGAAGTACGTAAGAATGGTAAACTTACAAATATGTAAAATAGAGTCTGTAGAGAAAAAAATTATAGCACAATATAGTGAACCGACTTTCTTCGCAGCAGACCCAGCAATGGAGTCAATATAATCTGTCCATTTCATATCAGCCGAGAATGTTAGCCTGAGAAGGTGCAATCATCATCCTCGTGGAGGTTAGTTTCAGCTATGCTGATGAGAGGCAGGAAGAGGTCTTTTCAGATAGAGAGAAGTTACGTTTTGGAGGCGGTAAAATTAGCAAGCCATTCCTTGCCCCCGTTAACAACAAACTGTAGGTTATTTTTTAGATCAGCTACCAATTTGACTTTATCGAACTGATCAAATTTCCTATCGAGATAGGAGTAAACGATTGTGTCACCAGCATAGATATCAAGTTGAGAACTGATGCCATCAAGATGGTCATTGATGAAAATTAAGGACAAAGGATAGAATCCTGGGGAACACCTGTATTAGAGCAAAACCATCTAGAAGAGTGACCGTTCAGGACGAATTTCATTTCTCAATTTGATGAGAAAAACTGAATCAGTTAAATAAATTTGACCGGAAATACCATCATAGCCTTTCAACTTATAAAAGAAGACCATTATGCCAAACCCTGTCAAAAAATTTCGAGATGTTTAAAACAAACAATCTATTCTTTACTAGTCTTATCTAAAGCTTGATATACTCTTTCGACAATAATCCTTAATACATCATCAGTTGACCCAGAGAAGAGAAAGTCATACTGCTTGTCTGAAAGAAGGTCCTGCGATGGGAGATACTTAACCAATCAGAGTTGATTAACAGTAGAAGACTTAATAGGCCGATAATTTGAAGGGTTAGACGATTCACCTGAGTTTCTAAAGGATAGAACGACAGACGAGGATTTCCAATAAGCAGGAATGCAATGGTCCCAGCTATGGGTAAATAGTGAACTCCCAAACAACAAATACAGATTTATAATTAAATGAGCAACAATACATTTTTATAGCAAAATGATAATCAAAAAATACTTTTTATAGTAAAATTATTAGCAATACATTTTATGATCAACAAACTATATATATATAAAAAAAGAAAAATTAACTTTACTCTGAAAGCATAAAAACACGTACAAAATATTTAGGCTTTGGTATTAAATAACCCATATGCCGCTAAACAAAATCAACCAATCAGAAATCATGCAATGAGTTATCTGCATATCACTCAACAGATTCTTAGAGGCAAGTCAAGCAAGGATACTCCGAATGAGTTAAAAGTGGTGGTTTTGAGGAAAATTTACGAACTTTATCAGCAGAGGATGTTAACACCTCAAATTGAGTGAAGAGAGGAGAAATATAAAAACTTACTCTTATTTAATACACTATTACAGAGCCGCCAGTAATCACGAGAGCCAAAGTTGTTAGATGCAATACAGTTCCTCATTCTATCAGCAAACAAAGACTTAGCTCCTCCGATGACACATTTACATGTATTGCGTACAGCCACTAATAGGCGTCTGTTGGAATCTGAACTGCCACGCTATTTCATTGTAAAGTGATAGATTTTGTTCGTATGTAATAAAATTCATTTTTATACACTTAGATCACCGTCGAAGCATATCAGTTTAAGTTATTGTGCAAATTATAAGTTTAATATCTAGTTGGATTCTCATTCAATTTCACCCATTAAAGATTTTCATCGGAACCGCCATACATTGGTAAAACCATAAATTTTATCAAAGCATACATGGTCGTAACAAATAATAATAATACTGTTATTATAGAACCACGTTCTATCTTTACAGGAATCA